TTTAATTTCCCGTCAGCAGTTGCTGGAAAAGAGAAGAATATTTATGAAAGAGCTGGATTGACTGGATGAAGATGTATGAAATTAAAGATGTGGTTGTGTGTGAATGTAATTACAAAAGATATGCCTCTTATGAATAAAAACTTTACATAAAGCTTTATAGTACTACATTTAATAGTTTGAATTCCCCACGAAAGACCCCTTTCATTTTCAAAGCATGAAATAAAATGAATGAATGGGTGATGATAAAATATTGCACATTAGCACATCCATTCTGTGATGTTTCAGTTGACATCCTTGACTAGAAGTTGACTAGAAGGTTCCAGCTCAAGCAGATGCCTCAATGCTGCATTTCTCTCCGTCGAGTCAAAGCGTACAAACTGCTTCATTTTATTTATCACAGACAGCGTTCTTATCTCAAATGAGTTCAACATGCAGCTGTTGCTTTAGTCCTGAGAATATTGGATTTCGAAATTAAAGATGACTCGCATGATTTGCCTTGACTGCGTCTTTTGTTTGTTTTTGATAAACATTTTGCTTTTAGATTGAACGGCATGCGTGCTTATAAATGCAGACGTCACACGCATGCAAAAAGCTTGGCTTGGTTTGTTTCGAGAATTTGGGATGTTAACAATCTCTCAAGGTATTTTTTTAGAAATATTAATAAAATGTGAACAGTTTAACCACTTTATAAACTTTAGCTTGTTAAAGATTGTGATTTTAACTGTAAAAGACTGAAAACTGTTAATTGATTAACAGAAAGTTTATCTAGGCTACTATGCAATTTTACAGTAAAATACCGTTAAATTTAGTTTTTGAAAGTGAAAAAGTACAAGTCAATGTATATTTACAGTAATAAAAACTAACTTGTAAATTGACATTCCCACAATACATTTAATGTTGTTAATGTTATTGTATTTTTTAAATTTTATGTATGATGGTGTTTAGTGTTTGTGTGAATGACACTGTAAAGCATATATATATATATATTTATTTATATGTATAGTATTAACTTTCCTGTGAAAAAGCTGCTTGTGATGAAATTGGTTTATCATGTGACTCTCATCGCCGTTGTGATTGGTTGTCAGTGTATTATAATGGTAAAAAACAGATATAGTACTTCAATAGGTGGGTTAATAAACATTATGTCAGATAGTGAAATATGTTTTTTTTTCTTTACTGTAAATTTAAGCCTTTTTGCTACCGTATATTTTACGGTTAAAAATTTCTGGCAACCACAGCTGCAGGTTTTTACCGTAAATTTAATTTGCCAGGTGCTCTTGGTAGCTTTTATTGGATTCTAGTTTGAGTTCTAGATGGTTGCTTGGTCAAAATAACTCATCTGGTGTCTATGTCCTTTTTTCTCATCTGTTTTATCATTCACCGGGTGAATAGTCTGATCCCCTTGAAAAGTAATAGGACACCTTAGGCATTATTCATGCGTGTAGCACAAACGGCGTGGGATGAGTTACATTCTTAGGGTTTGCAAAAGCAATATTTTCAAGGTGATGATTTCATCTGTTATATTTTTGAACTCATCGGTGTAAATTGAAATGTAAGCTGTCAGAGAGAGCAGGAGGCTGTTCGGTGAGCCATCTCGTGTGCAGAGGTAATGGAGACTATCAACCTTCAGTTTTACTGGAACATTTCATGAGACATATTTGAGGCTGTCCTTGGAGCAAGCTGGTCAAACAATGATTGATGATTGGTATTCTAAACCAACTAATTATGAGAAATAACTTATTCTTCTATTCATGAGCTACTCAGGGCCATTTCACAAGGGAATTGTTTAGGATTATTATCAGACATACACTTCAGTTCAACAAATTGGGCATATATTTGTTGTTGAACTATTTTCTTTAAAAAAATATCTTGAAATGTAATTTATGGAATTGCTGGATTTTCAGTCTTCGGTGTCACCTGAACCTTCAGAAATCATTCTAATATGCGGATTTGTTGCTTAAGAAACATTTATTATTATTATCATCATCATCAAAGTGGAAAACAGTTGTGCACTGCTTAATGTTTTTGTGGAAACCATGATACATTTTTTTTCAGGATACTTTACATTTTAAAATCCACAATGTATATAAAACATTATAAATGTCTTAACCGACACTTTTTAGCAAATGCATTTTAAAATCTTTTTATTTATTCAAAAATGAAAATAGCTAATTCATACATAACCAACTTAAATTGAATACACCTTTTATGTGATGGGCATATTTCTAATTTCTAAATTCAAATTCATTTAAATATTTTTTTTTTATATAACATATAAATTTTTTAAAAATAAGAAAATTAAAAGACAAAAAAAACATTAGGAGTTGAAAGTTTGACTAAAATATTATTCATATTAAAAAAAAAAAATCTAATCAAAGTTCAGTTGGCTGAAGCCATGATGTTTAAGCCTGTTAGAAAATTGGGTTGAGAGTACTATGCTCTCATTGGTTGCTGAAAGTATTTTAAGAAATTGCTTAAATATTTATTATATAACACATAATATTGTCAGAGTTTTCTGCACATTCCATGTGGCCCTGTGTACAGCTAAAGGTTTTAGCATATATTAACGCAATCCCTGCCAGCACAATATTATCATTTTAATAGACCATATTTCATTTGAAGTGACCACCTCACTCAAGCCTCATGGATTATACTTTGATTTGATTTTAGCACATACAAACACTAGCAATTGATCTTTATTTGGAAAAATAGCAATATAGTGTAATGGTGTGTTGTCTTATATTGTCATCACTGCTGTAATGGCATTTCAATAGAGAAGCTATTTCAGTTGCAGTAGTTTTGCAAATGTTCCCATAGCAATGGGCTGCTTTAATAGGCCACTTGATAGAGAGGCGAATGAGCGCATCATATTTTTTACTTGAAATGGTGGTATTACGTAGTGTAATTAAAGCATACTGCTGTGCATTACTTTTTTCTTGTTTTTCAAATAAGCCAAAGGCATAATTTACTCAGTCTCAGATATTAAAGCCAACTCAAATCAGTGGGTCTCATTCAATAGTAATTGCATGAATTATTTCACATTTATAAAAACCACCTGTCACAAGGACATCCAGAGTTCTTCAAAATAACACATGGAGGACGTTAAATGACATTTTTATATTTATTTATGTTCTCCCAAGCCAGTAAAGTGCAAGGTGCTCACAGGTGGCACAACATTAAAAAAACTATAAAAGAAAGAAAGAAAAAAAAAAAACAAGTCAATATACCAAAGGCACTAGCCTTGCATCAGGTCTAATACTTCAATCACAGTACGCAGTTGATACAGCATTCACTACCATCAGTCTTTTACCCTCCTGATCACTTCATTCTGTGAGAATTTATACACCTGGGTACAACCATTTCTCAGCAGTCATCACATGGGGAAGTAATAAAGATCATGAACAGGTAATAAATATCAAGTAAAAATATTATGTGATCAAGTAACTCTATTTACTTCACCACACAAATTTCAATAACAGTACAAACTTCAGCAATAATACACATTAACATCAACCAATTCCCCTTCCTTTCCCACCATACTTGGTATCTCCCACTTCCCATGATGCAACACAGCACAGGTATAAAAAACCTGAGAAAAGGCCTTTCCAATCTTTTACCCAAATCAAGATGGCCACCACCATGCTTCTCCAGGTGACAATCAACAGTCTGTAGCAAACTTTAAATGTCCTCAGGGTTAGTGCTAAGGTGGCCAGTCTGAGACACAACAATATAGTTGAAGATATATTTGTTTGGTTAACCCATTTCTCATGTCGCTGGTACACTAAGGTAAATAAACAGTCTTTTAAAAACCAAGTATGTGTTCTTGTGTTTTGTAGAAGGCTAACAAGGGGTCACAGAGAACTGAGGGTAGCTCTGTGACACCACCTGTATCTAATTTTTGTGAATGTATGCTTTTTTGGAGGTTCCTACTTAGAACAAATTTTAGTACAAAAGTTACTGATGAATCGTGATTTATTCACACATGAATTCATGCATAGGCACAGTTAAGGAATAAGGTGTGGTAATGGTGTGTTACAGTGATTTTTAACACATTGAAAGATGTGAAACAGCCGTGTCATTTAGTTAAAGTGAGTTTTATATTGGTCTAATCAAAAAGTCATGGTTTTCAGGTTTAAACCTCTTTTGTTTGTTTGGTCTAAAAAACAAACTAAAACCACTTTCCATGGAAATTAAAAATAGTGTTGATGTGCAAAAAACATACTAGTTTTACTGATGGCAGACATGATTTTAGTTTTTTTTTTTTTCTTCTGGTGTTTATTTTTAGTACATATCAGAAAATATGATGCATATTTTAGAAGGACAGCAATAAACATTAAGGTCTTTCAAAAGTGGTCTAGTAAACTAAATGAAACATGAACAACTTTTGTTTATGGTTAAATTTAGTTGTAAAAAGACTTGGCCTACATTAAAGGGATAGTTCACTTTGAAATTCATTTTGGTATGTGTTAGCTTACCTCAAGGGCTTCCAAGATGTAGATGTCTTTGTTTCCACAGTATTTTCAATTTTGACATTTTTCGGTCAAACTGCTGTTGTCTGTCAGTCATATAATAGGTCTTAGTGAGTTAGGAGTCCTCTCGACTTCTTTTAAACTGTCCCAGACTTAGGTGCTACTTTTAGGGCTAAAATGCTTCGTGAATTAATCTTAGTGAAAAAAATTAGGAGTCCTAAAGACAAGTTAAGAGTGACACGCCCATTATTTTTAGGAGTTGCTCCTAAATTCGCCAGTTAGGAACTACATTTAGCCTTAAAATTCTTGGTGAATACGGCCCCAGGTTTTTTTTCTGGTCAGTGGCACAATTGTTTTCTGGAACTGCAAAATAGCACTAGGGAATGTTTGCGCCGAAACACACCACCTTTTTTGCGTCGATCCGCCCAGTGAGCGCAAGTTCATTCCCTAGTTTACCGACGTGCGTCTGTGGAGGAAAAAAGGAGAAAAGGTGCAAGATAGAGCCCTAAATGTCTGTGCTTGTGTTTTCAGGAGCTGGTTGGGAGTAGCCCTCCGCAGAGGAACTGGAAAGGAATCGCCATCGCCCTGCTGGTCATCCTGGTCATCTGCTCTCTGATCGTCACCTCCGTCATTCTACTCACACCAAGTAAGAGATGTAATAATGCAACACTTAATACAGTCTGTGTAATTTCATGTTTTCTTTTAGCAATCCGTTTTGTGTACTACACTGTAAAAATGAATATGCTTTATCTAATCAATAAAATTGTGGTAACAGATTACAAGCAATATTATTAATTAAATTGAACAAATTAGAATTGAGTAATAATTAATCAAATTATTCCTTAAAAGTTAACCATTTCAAATGAGAAAAGTTTACACCAAAAAATTAAATAAAAATATCTGTACAGATGTCAAAGATTTATTAAGAACTATTTATTTTATATTGCCAACATTGAAGACACCGGATGTTAACAAGCAGAATCACTGAAGGAGAAAAACAAACACTGAGCACCATAATGGTGACTTAAAATATATGTTTTAGTCATTTTAAATTGTTAACTTTTAATGAATTAATTTGATTAATTATTACTCACTTCTATTGTTTAATTTAATTAATAATATTGCTTGTAATCTGTTGCCACATTTTTTTTCTTGATTAGATAAAGCGCATTCATTTTTACAGTGTAGTTTAGACCAAACCTATCCCTCCAATCAATAATGTGACTATAAAATAGCTTATTATGATATAATCTTATTGAGCATACATTTTTAAACTGTAATATTTTTAGTGATGAAGCATTTGGCAAAACATCACAGCATATTACTATTTTCTGTAAATAAAAATGTATAAATGAGCAGCCTGTCATTACAGCACCAGAAATGTCACAATGTCACAAGCTGCGCTACTTTTTTTTTTTTTTTTTTTTTTACATATTCATTTACTCTTCATATACTGTATGCCAACAATTGGCTCATTTGATTAAGTTGTTTGTTTTTGATAAAGCTGATGCTTAATTAAAGATAAACATAACTGAGAAGTCTCCAAAGCTATGAAAGAGCAACCCGTGAGCAATCATTTTCCTCTGGGTTACTTCTGGTATTGTTTTTCTTTACTAGTGAAAAACTGTGTTATTAAAGCAGGAGAGACAGAGATGCTAAGCAGACACAATATTCCTCAAAGTTGGAGGATCAAGTATGATGATTTTCCAGGGTAATAATTAGTATAGTATATATAATTATGGCTTTTTTTCATCAAAAGGAAAGTAAGCCAACGTTTTTCCCCAGAGTTCAGTTAAGTATTACTTTTTTTTCTTCAAACACCAGTGATAGAGGATGTATGCAAACACTTATCAACTGTTGGAGAGCCTAAATTGGGAGTATCCTCATGAAATGAGTGTGCTCATTTTTACAGTGACTCCTAATTGAGGGTGAAGGCAATTCAGTGGTGCTTGCAACTGAGAAAAATGCCATTAAAAACCAAAGCCAATTTTAAAGCTGTAGTCTGTATGGTGGCTTTCTTGCTTGTACTCCTTGAGTGCAAATTGTTAAACTACTTCTGAATAGACATTTGTTAGGTAGGGAGACAAATGTTGGTGAGAAAAAAAAAACTCTGTCTGATTAGATCACTGTGTGCAGATCAATAGAGCTCCAAATAGAATGAGACACACTAGGGATCCCCAGTCTCGCCCTCCACCTCGCGTCAGCTGTAGTAATTGGTTGTGGACCTGCAGACTAGCGAGGGAGTTGTTTGCCAAAAGCCAGATCTCACGGGACAAGAAGCCAGACAATATAGTGGGAGCTATGCATACATTTAAAAAGAAAAAAAAAACTGTTGTTTTCCCTCAATTTGTTTTATTTTATTTTTCTTTTTGTGGTCTGAGATGGTTTGTAATACTAATTCTAGAGTTACTTTAAAATTTTGAAGTTTGAACATAAAAAAATATGGTTGGTTTAACTTAAAAAATTAAGTAACCTGGTTGCCTTAAAATTTTAAGTTGATTGAACTGGAAAAAGTGAGTTAATACAATGAAGGAGATTGATTTAATCATCAGAAACTTAAAATAATAAGTTATCTGAACTAAATAAATTATTTAAGTTGATTTGACAAAAGAAAAAATGTTGTGATAACAAATCTTGAAAATATTTTTTTTACAATGCATCCATGACGATATGTTCACTTTACCTAAAAAGAGTACTTATTATATACATAATATACTTAAATGTGACATATAATGCCTATTTTCACAGGATGTGATTTAATTGGTGTCCCCTGAATGAGAATGAAAAATTTCAGCTCAAAATACCCCCAAGATCATTTATTATTGCTTGTCAAATTTGCCCCTTTTTGGGTGTGAGCAAAAACGCTCCGTTTTTGTGTGTGTGTCCCTTTAAATGTAAATGAGCTGCTTATCCGCCCCCATTCAGAGAGGGACGATAGTTTACACGAGCTTTAGATATTCTGGAAATAACAAAATGATAAACTCCTTTTAAGTGTCATTTTAAACTTTGTCCAGCAGTTTGTCTTGACAATCTTCCCTTTTCTAGTCTGCTCTTGTAATATTGTCCAAATCTTCTGCTCACAGGTGAGGATGACAGTCTGGCCTCCAAAAAGAAAGTCACGATTGAGGATATCTTCAATGGAAAGCTCGAGGCACATGACCCTAAGGCAACATGGCTTAGCGGTGAGTGGCAGTTGAGTTTTACTCCCTCTCGTTCGGCTGCTAGAGCTGTGGGTGGATGCAGTCACTTTTTTCATCATCTCTTAACAACAGAGAGAAATTGCATCAGTATCTGCATCTTAAGCTTCACACTGATCGAATGCAATCTCTGTGGTACTTCAGATGAAAATCCCCATTTAATATGGACAGGTGTGGAGATACTGTATACTCTTACCCAGCATTGCATATTCTTTTCTTTGTTCGGTCTGGGATTCTTTCAAGTTGGTTTAGACGCTCTTGGTTTTCACAAAACACCTAAAACAAATGACTCTGTGTCACTTTATTGCTTTTTATTGACTGTAAAACCTGGATAGGGCTATATATATATATATACCAGGTAGACAATATTTATATTTGATGATGTAGTTTTTAGCTGGTATACAACCTGGACCAGTAAAAACTAGCTGCTATTACCACTATAGCTACAGTGAAACTTGTTTTTGAATTATACTTTTTATACAGTAGCCTAGATATCTGTATACCATAAATAATACAAGTTTGCAGTAGTAAATAAAACAAAGGCTTAGACTTGGTGGTCAACTTTAGACATTCTAACTTGAAGTAACTTTGCAACTGCATGTCAACAGTACTCAAAAATCTAATGACTGCTTGTTGACATGTACATGTACAATTTCTCTACTTCAAAATTTAATTCAAAAATATTTAATTCAATGTTACTTGCCATTTCTTTGTATTTGTTTGCAAAAATTGATACCAATTTCTGAATTGGCATATCATTCATAATTTTCCAAAAGGACATATTGTTATAAAAGTCGTCTGTTGAAGATGGTAAATAGATGGGTCCGGCTAATTAATGAGAGCAGAGGTTGGCATGACCTCACAAAACTGGCAAATCCCCATCCCCAAGGACTCCACTTGTTCCCCGAACTCTCAAAAATGGGATCTTGCTCATTGTAAATCAGTAGCACGACTGTAAATCTGTGGCATATTGATCCACATTATCATGTCACAATACTCAACAACATTAGCATGTTTTCTGTTTTTGTTATTGTATTATTCCATGTACAAATACACTGCCCAGGGTCATATTAGAATGACCTACACTCTCAGAAAAAAGGTACAAAAGCTGTCACTGGGGCTGTACCTTTTCAAAAGGTGCTAATATGTACATTTCAGGTGCTAATATGTACATTTTAGGTGCTAATAAGTACATTTTAAGTGTTAATAGGTACATTTTAGGTGCTAATATGTTCGTTTTAGGTGTTAATATGTACATTTTAGGTGTTAATAAGTACATTTTTGGTGTTAATATGTGCATTTTAGGTGCTAATATGTAAATTTTTAGTGTTAATATGTACATTTCAGGAGCTAATATGTCAATTTTAGGTGCTAATATGTACATTTTAGGTGTTAATATGTACATTTTTAGTGTTAATATATACGTTTCAGGAGCTAATATGTCTATTTTAGGTCCCAATATGTATATTTTAGGTGCTAATATGTACATTTTAGGTACTAATATGTACATTTTAGGTGTTAATATGTACCACTATGGTACCAATATGCAGCCTTTGGGTGCAAAAGTGTACCTTTTGAAAAGGTACAGCCCCAGTGACAGCTTTTGTACCTTTTTTTCTGAGAGTGTATATGCACTGCAGCGTAATCGCTTAAAATAAAAAATAGAAACTGGCATGTATACAGTATGCTTTCTGTAATGTTTTTGCACAGTATCACCGTAGATAGTACTCACTGAGGTTGTTCTGGTTTATGTCTCTAATTCTTAGGTTTTTGTTAGTACCTTATTTTAGCTACTTGTATAATTTTTCTGTGAGATTTGAAGTTATTTTTGGGAGGTTGGAGAACGAGGGTGTCCTTTGTTTGTCCTTGTTTATATTAAAAGGGTGCAGCCCTAGTGCCTTGTAAACCATGCAAAAGATGTTTTTATCTGCATTTTGATTAATAATTTTTTGTTTTGTTTTGTTATTCTGCTCCTGAAAACGCATTTGTTGATTTAAGGCTGTGTTTACCTCTGGGGAAAAAAGGCCCATTATTCTCCCTCAGACATGCTCCACAACTCCACGTCAAGCCTTTTTAAAAGCGATCACTCGTCTGTATTATTTATCAAGGCGGGCGCTATCTGCATTCAGGTCCGTAGCAGACTTGTTTACCGGGGTATAACATTTACAGCCTGAATAAAAGAACACAGCCTTGGCAAAATAGGAACTTTTAAAGCTAATGCTTTAAAATGAGCTGTAAAAGTTTTAAAGGCTATTCAAAACAAATGAATGAATACATTTATATGCATTATTAAAAATTAACCCCCAAGCCATTTTATGCGCATAATACAACAGTAGTTGTCCTTTCTCATCAGATGTAAAGGAGAACTCCGGTCAATTTTAACGTTGAGCTCATTTTTTTGTATATTTGGAGTGCTGTCAGTACAGACGAAAACGACAAATATCGGTGTTGCCTACCGATTGATTGTTAATAACATTGATAATAATAATAAACGTTTCTTAAGCAGCAAATCAGCATATTAGAATGATTTCTGAAGGATCATGTGACACTGAAGACTGGAGTAATGATGCTGATGAGAATAAATACAATTTTAAAATACATTCAAATATTTTAAATTGTAATGATATTTCACAATATTACTAGGGTGTTTTTTATATCAAATAAATGCAGCCTTGGCGAGCATAAGAGACTTAATTTTTGTGATTATCTGAGGTGGGGTGTGTGTTTTCTTTTTCAGTTTTATGTTTAAAACTGAGCTGGACACCTTTTTGTTTGTTGTGTTGGCCTTTGACCCCTCCTGAAGCTTATGTTTCCCTTCATTTTTTTTTTTTTTAAAGCAATAAACACCCATTTAAGTTCATTCGTTCTGGATGTGTGTTACTGGGTACGCTAGTTCATGTGTTCTTTGTCTCCAAAATTTGTTACTGCTATGGCTATTACCCCTAGACTAAAAAGTGCTGGTACTTAACAATATATACAATCTAAATGGGAGTTAAACTGTAATCATGCACATCCAGCTGGGCATCATCACAAAAGAAACCCATTCATACTGCTAAAACACGTATCACTCTTTCGAGGTTAATTTTGTGATAATGACCGGCTGACTGTACATTAATTAGATATTATGTACATCAAAGATAATGTTTTTTTTCTTCTTCCTCTTCATAGACACAGAAATGCTGTACCATACCCGTGAGGGAGATCTGGTGAAGCACAACTTTCTGACAAATACCAGCAAGACTTTAGTGGATAAAAAGATGTTTGAGAGTTTCCACAGCCAGGTTCTTACCGCTTTGATTGACAGCAAAATATGCAGCTTTGTCGATGTTTTGTTCTTGTAAAGAAAAGTAACTTTAGAGCGTTTTTTGTTTCAGGTATCCCACAAACCAACCGAATACCAAGTGTCTCCTGATCTAAAATATGTGCTGTTGGCCTACAATATTGTGCCGGTAATTGCTTGCTATTCTGATTTCTAATGTGAAGAATCTAATCAAATTCTCTTGTCTTTTGTTACTAAGTTCTGTTGCATCTGTTGCATCACATCTCTTTGTGAAAGATGACACCGTGTGCGCTTCTAAAGGACATCTCGTCTGCTCTCTTTGTCCCACAGCTTTATCAGTATTCCTTCATGGCCCATTACATCATCTGCAGCCTTGATTCTCCGTAAGTCTGGTTGTTATGACCGAATCCTTTCAACAATTCTCCCTGGTTTTAGTTTCTACTGTCACTAACTCTGTGATGATGAGGGTTCAGCTTACTGAGCTTGATAGGATAGTGCCATTGTAGAGAACTGAATTGTGGGTAGCACTGCCACCTAGTGACATTGTGTCATTTCCCCAGAGGAAATGTAAACATAATTTGTCCTCAAGAGTGGGTCTCCTCTGATCTAAATGAGTCACCACTCATAGCCTTTAACGTCTCAAGTGAATTCAGATTTTGACACATAAAATACATCAACACGATAATTGTTGAGGGCACTATGGTAATTATGCTTTAAATAGGTTAAACGAGTACACTACACGCACATCTTTCTCATTCAGTATGACACACTCACACTTTCAAAGTCTCTCTGTCATTCCAACTGAAATGAGATACACATTTGACTTCTATGGTGTCGCATCACAATATGAATGGAAAGTAACTAACACACATGCAGTCATCCTACACTCTTAGAAGTAATGGTTCTACTTAGAAGCAGAAATGGTTCCATCCCCCGCTTCATATATTGAACTCCAAAATGGTTCTATATAGAACAATTTTTTTTTTTGGTAAAAAGGTTCTATTGGCCAAGTACGGAACCCCAGGGTTCTATATAGAACCCAGAGGAACCCTTTTTTAAGAGAGTATAGAACCTTTTAAGGGTTCCAAATATGTAGCACTGATTGACCCTTTTAAGGTTCTACTGTATATGGAACTTTTTCTTCCAAGTGTGTATTCTTGTTTTGAGAACGGTTTGTGTTTTGACAGAGAGAAAGTGGAACTGACCCCTAATGAGGTCCAGAATACCGCACTGCAGTATGCCGGATGGGGTCCCAAAGGACAGCAACTGGTAAGAGAATCACAAACACATTTGTGTCACCAAAAAATAAACTCCAGTATAAATGAACTATCACAAAACTAAGAGGTTGGTTTAATATAGAGTTTCCTAACAATATAGTTTGTACAGTGGATATTGAAAGTCTACACAACCCGGTTACCATGAATGATATTTCATGGTAACCAACCAACCACATGTCCATCATTCTGCTCAACATTTCCATGAATAAGTGTGAAGCAGCACCTGATGGATGAGCGCTGTGGATCTAGAGATGTGAGCTGGTCATTTTGACCTGATTGTGTCTGTGTCCTGCTGGCAGAGCATTAGTAGTGGCAGATGGCGGCAGCATGACACTTATTTCAGTAGAGCTGATTTTAACTGCCGCCTTTCTTGCTGATCTTAAATAGTGGCGTTTGCTAAGGGACTCATTACTATTAGATTTAAACAAACCTCGAACTAACTCTTAACTTAATTATAGTAATCCTCATCCTGCACTATTTGTGCTACAGATGTGAGTGATGTCAAATTATGTGAGTTTTTTAGGGAGGGTGTGCTATACTTTTCAAATTGATCTTATTATTTTCATCAAGCAGACATTAAAAAAGTCCCATACACTGTAAAAAAACAAAACAAAAAAAACAACAACTTGTATTTGTCTTGTTTTCTAGTATAAAAATCTAACCATTAGGACCAACCTAACCAAATGAGTTGTTCACTTTTCAAAAAACTTTTGCTGACACCCCCATGTCATCCAAAATGTCCATGTCTTTCTTTCTTCAGTTGAAAAGAAATTAAGGTTTTTGATGAAAACATTCCAGGATTTTTCTCCATATAATGGACTTCAGTGGGAACCAAACAGTTCAAGGTCCAAAAGACAGTTTCAGTGCAAACTGTTCAAAGGGCTTTAAACGATTCCAAGGGTCTTATCAAGCAAAACCATCGCTCATTTAAGAAAATAAATAACAAAGTTTTATAAGCTCAAATGATCGCCTTGCTCTGTTCTGTGATGCGCGTTTGTGACTCTCCTGTTCGAACTCATTTATCAAAATGAACAAATCTTTTTCCAAGTCAATTCGTTTGTTTCGTTCGTTAAACGAACCAAATGACTCGGAAAAAGATTTGTTCATTTTGATAAACGACTTCGAACAGGAGAGTCACGAACGCGCATCACAGAACAGAGCAAGGCGACCATTTGAGCTTATAAAACTTAATTGTTCAAAATCAGATATATAAAAATATAAACGAAGCACCTGAAGAGAATAATTTCAACTTTTCTGTACTTATAAACACCCCAAATATACGACAAAATGCATTTAAGGGCTAAAAAAGTGGATTTAAATTTAAATAGGTGCATTTACTTGAGAAGCAAAGTTACTTAAGAGGTTATGCCTTGTTTTCTGAAAAATGTGTAAATGAAGTGAGAACAATAATCTTGCTTTCCCTTTGTGTAAGTGTATTTTCTCTGACTCCTTGGCTTTTTTATTTCCTTCCTGTTTCAAAGTACAGAAAAAATAAACTAGATTCGATATTTGACAACACTTATGTACTTGATTCAGATTGTACTGGAAAACTAGACAAAAATACAAAGTAAGAAAGTACATGTTTTTGCATTGTACATATTGACAGCAAATAAGTCAAACATGGGCACACGAGCGTTACGGTTTATATAAGCGCACTGTAGTTTGTTGTTTTTGTATTAATCTTCTGTTATCAGTCAACACGAGGAGTGCTATAAAATACAAGTGTGTGTGATAATGTTTGCTTTCTTGCTAACAGGAACCTCATAAATATGCATCACTGCACTGAATTTACATAATGCTGCATGTGCATATTTGTTTTCGTGTATCATAGGCGAAGCACACATGCATGCATATGTGCTGTGTGTGTGAGCGCAGCATCAGGTGTGTCATTTTGTGGATGCCCGTTTGCTGCCCTGCGCTTCAGTGATGCCTCCGGCAATTAGTTTTCCTTGACCGAGCAATCAGCAGGGGCCAGTGCAGCCAGAACCTACACTGAAGGTCACGTCCCAGACTCCTCCGGGGGGGGGCGAGAGCGGGAGACGGATCAAAATGGTGGTCATGGAAGAGCAGAGATAGAGATGTAGAGGAGCCGTCACTTTAGGAGAAGGTACAGACAGCGGGACGGGGGCCAGAATGTAGAAACATACCACTGGCTCTGTCCCAAAACCTGCTGACCTGTCACGCTGTGTACTGTCTACACAGGCTGCTACCTTCTAAAAGCAGCAATGCATTATATCAATATGAGGGATTATCAATTTATAGATCAAACTCTGTTTGCCAACAGGTTCTGACACAGTTTTCCATGTTATGTTTTCCAGTTATTATGTCCCTGTTAGTGGGACAAATCATGTGAAACAGTGAAATCACTCATAGTAAATTAATCTTTTCCATCTTGAAGGTGTCTCAAAAGTGCTCTTCTGAACAATGATGATGTATTTTTGTAGACCAACCCGGAAGTTTGAATCACCCAACTGGATTTTACCATTGGCTTTGAATGTCTTATGCATTATGCAAATTTGTTACAAACCTACGTAGGGCAAAAAGGAAGTACAGTAAGGCTGGAATTAGAATTAGTTAAAGAATTTTTTAACGTCCCAGACAACTTTTGTAGTAGTATTTAGCCACTTGTTGGCAAAAAGCGAGTAAATTATGCTTTTTGTGTGATCTCTTTAAAGGAGTAGTTCACTTTTGATAAAACTTTTGCTGATAATTTACTCACCCCGATGCCATCCAAGATATCCATGTCATTCTTTCTTCAGTCGAAAAGAAATTAAGGTTTTTGATGAAAACCTTCCAGGATTTTTCTCCATATAATGGACTTCAGTGGGAACCAAACGGTTCAAGGTCCAATGGTCCAAAATGAACAAACGGTTCAAGGTCCAAAATGAATGAATCTTTTTCCGAGTCATTTGGTTCATTCAACAAACGAACGAATTGACTCGGAAAAAGATTTGTTCATTTTGATGAACGACCAGGAGAGTCACGAACGCGCATCACAGAACAGAGCAGGGCAAGCATTTAAGCTTAAAACTAACTTTTTTTTTTTATTAAATGAGCGATCGTTTCGCTTGATAAACCGTTATTCATCATCTGGAATCATTTAAAGCCCTTTGAAAAGTTTGCAGTTTGCACTGAAAGTGTCTTTTGGACATTGAACCCTTTGGTTCCCAATGAATTCATCAAAAACCTTCATTTCTTTTCGACTGAAGAAAGAATGACATGGATATCTTAGATGACATGGGGATGAGTAAATTATCAGGAAAAGTTTTTTTTTTTTTTTTTAAGTGGACTACTCCTTTAAGCTGAACTATATTTTACAGAACTATGTTTCTGTGAATGAACTGACTATTCTGATGACTATCACTGTGAAGCTTGTGATCAAAATAGTTGAATACAGCAGATGAGTTGGGATACCAACCAGTACTCAACTAGTACAGTGATTCCCGAGCATCAAAGTGGAAATGATTTGGGATGCTCTACAAAGGCAGCAGATTTATGCATCATAGAAACAGCACTCGAAGGGCCCAATTGATTTGTAGTAGTTTTCCATTAACATGTTGCTTAGACAAAGTCAGTTTAAACAAACTGGGTATGCCTTGTTGCTCAAATAAAATCCATTCTGTTCAGCCCATGTGAATTCATTAACAACAGAGCACTGAGCCATTATCTTCTTTCTTGTCTGTGTCCCATTAGTTTGTTCCACACACTCTTCATTCACAGTAAATGACAGTGATTACATAAATGCATAATAACAATAACAGATAAATAATAACAGGGCACATTCGCAACCATTAGTCATAGGAAAGACAAAGTCCAACCATGATTCACTAACAATGCAGCAATAAGACAAAACCACAGATGTAAAGTTCTTCTTAATAAATCATAATCACAGATTTTAATGTAGTACATTTATCAGTCCTCATTCTATCTAAGGATACATCTTTTTTTTTTAACAGTTATCTGAGTTGTAAGCCCAACCTTGGAAAAACACATCCACCAACACTAGACACATTCTCAGTACACTGAGGCCTAATGTGTCACACACTTAGAATACAAGTAACGCACTGCAAGACAAACATCATTTCTTCAGATAAAAAAAAAAAAATTAAAAGCCTTTCTACAAAATAGACCATTTTCACACTTTCAAAAACAAATCAAAGTAATTTCCTGCACACTATCATTTCGTAAAGATAACTTTCGGTGAAAATTATAGGATTGGAAATTACATTTGATTTTAGACATACTTGGAATAAAGTGACTGAATCTTTTGTCTTGCTGAGGCTATTTTCATAGCTAGCACAATTCTCTATATATAATTTTACAAAAATCTGATTTATTTCACCCACAACAAGAGAATTCTCTTGTTTAATATTTCAAAACATTTTGCTCTTTAGTGACACTAACAAATTATTTTGAGCAAAATTGCCGGAATGATGCCACAAGTGAGCTGTAAATTGATATAATTTTTCTCAGAAAATATTACAGTTGTTTGTTTTAAATAAAAAGCCATTCAAAAGTTCTAAAAATGAATGAGGTTTTGATGTTTCCAACTAAAAATAAAGAAGCTGAAAAAGCTTTTGAATCTGTTGTGAATTGAATTGTAAAGCTCTCCTCATAATGAAATATTGGGTAACACTTTATTTTACAGTGTCTGTTACATATTACATGTAGTTACTAGTAATTATTATAAATTGTGCCATGTCAAAACGCTTCCAGGGCCCAGAAAACACGTCAGAATTTCATTAGTATCTTAATCCTATTGTATTTATTTGTGCTACTTTTTTTTGCTACAAATAAATCATTTGTAATTAGGACCTTAAATTTAAACTGGGCAAGCCAAATACAAGTAAAAACTCGTTGGCGAGCATATGAAACGGTGTCACTCACCAACATTTGCCGGTAACATTTTTATGAATTCTAACAATGCAGGAACATGAACAAATGAGAACAACGCACGGGATTGTTGATCGTTTCATCGCAACGAAAGTTTAAGCTTTGTGTGTAAAGTTTTGTGAGCGCACACATCCGAAGCACGCGCACAGAAAGCCACGTCTCAGACAGCGCACAAATACTAAACTGAACTCTCGGAGTCATCTTTCAATAGTATTTTGTGACATTTTGTGTGAATTTGTCCACTCAGATTATCCTAGTAAACATAGTCGGTTATGTCTTAAGTGAATTGGTAAGTTTTAAGTCTCTGTACCTGAAAATTGTGAATTTTTGCTGGTATCTGAAATTTGTATCATACCTGTCATGAACTACGTGTCAAAAACTAGTGTCATGGCTAGTATAAAATATTTATGGTCGGTATATTTTGGGCAGGTGTGGCAGAAAGTTAGTTTTAGGTCTGGTTTATAATCATTTGTAAAAAAAACACTGCAATATTCCCTAAAAAATAAGAACTGAGAATTGTTTTCATTTTTTCAGGCATTGTGTGTTAATTTGCATAAATTGGTGCAGCATCTCTTTGTGGGATTTTGGCAGAGCATGATTCAGCTGCTGAATAAGTCCCAGCAGAGCTTTACACACACAAACACACACAGCTCTGTCAGCCATCCTGCAGACAGGAATCTGCCATCAACTCTGATTACTCTAGCATCACACAACATTGTAAATATTCGCTTGAGATTTGCTTCCAATACAGAATAATGTTATGCCCAACCATTGAATCGGCTTTTCAACATTCATACAAATTGTGACATTCATACATGTTTGTTTGTCCCATAGAGCATTAGTAGAGTGACCTTGCGTTCTTTCAGCAGCCTGGTTTCTGGAAGTATTTTTTCCCATTGTTTTCTTCAATTGCATGTCCAAATGTATTCATTAAAGCTTTTTAAGCCTCAAAAAACATTTTAAAACCTGAATTAAATGACACCTCCAAAGATGTATACTTAAATTATATGAATGAACTACTTACTTAATTTCTCATATAAATCCATTACTGTAATGATAAAATACAATATATTTGAAGCCCATTGTAAAATATATAGAAATGTATATGTTTTTACATATAACTCTAATCTCTCCCCCCAAAAAAGGCCACAGACCAAAAAAAATGGTCTTTCATACATCATTTGTTTTTGTTTCCTGACAGATATTCATCTTTGAGAATAACATCTACTACAAAGCGCAAGTGAACAGCGCATCAATCCGCCTGGTTTCCACGGGCAGTGTGGGAGTTATATTTAATGGACTGGCTGACTGGCTCTATGAAGGTAAAGCCCACAAGCATGAATAATAAAAAAGACAGAGAAGTGTGTGTGTGTGTATGTAATAAAAGAGCAGACATGATTGTGAGTGTCTGATGTGTTTAGATCTGTTTATTTGTGGATGTCTGATCCACCTATCAGATTCAGCACATTTCTTCTAGAGTTCAATGCATTACTTTTTACTTTGATCTAAACTTTACTGGAATATACTGCTTTGCTCATACGTTTACAGATCTTTCACAAGATTTTAGGATCATTAAAATCCATTTTGTTTTTTTTAGAATCTCTGATGAAATAGACACAACAGATATTGAAATGGATTGATATAATAATAATTTTACATAATAATATTCTGTTTTACAATATTATATAAATAATGTTTTCAACAGGATAATTTGAAATTACATTTGTCAAATGACTTAAAAATTACTTGAACATGTAGTTCATCTGGTTTGTTTCTTGGTCTTAATTCTGGAAACTGAACTTGCTTTTGCACAAAATCCATCATTGCAATGAACAATAGTCTCTGTAAATGAAATTAGCCTTCACATCTGTATCTTTTCATATTCAAAAAAAAAACCAAGGACCTTTTCTGACAAATATGAAGGGAAATTATTTGAGAAATCAGATCTGAACTCTGAGAAATCTCTAAACCAGTTCAAGGCCGCTGTGAGTTCATTTTGACAGCAGTAGATGTTCAATATCTTAAAAAGCAGGCAAATATCTAACATTCCACGATAAACTAAAATGACATACAGTCAGAGTGATTTTAATTTGATTCTAATCATAATGCTTAACATGCGACATATTGGACTGAACAAATTCCAGTCCTTGATAATGGTGTAGATATTATCACTTATGTTGGTCTATGAACAGCACTGGGATGTGAGATCAAGATTAAACCTTTTTTATAATCCATTGTGCAATATTGTTCAAGTGTATAATCCCCCACAATATCCAGATTTTAATATTTATAATGATTAATGTTCATCAAAAGGATTATGTTCATCTTGAATTTGGATTATTCATCTTGTGATTTTTGCTGAGTGTTTACACACACACACACACACACAGGGCTTTTTAATACATTTTTGCTTCAATAATTTTAATGTGTATTCCAAGTAATTTTCAGGACATTTCATCCATCTGGAATTAATTGGAAAGTACAGTTAATTGTGGGGAAGTAATGCCCCAACTGATCTTTTTTGGATCTTTTTTGGGTCTTTTTTTTTTTACTGCTGAAATTTTTCTGTAATGGGTAGGGTTGGTGCAGGAGGGTAGAATATACAGTTTGTACAGTTTCAAACCATTACTACATGCACATACCATCTATAATACTGTATGTCCCCATAAAACATGGAAACCGTGTGTGTGTGTGTGTGCCTACTTAAAACTATATTTTAGGGACAAATTTGTACACAGAAGTGACACAATCTCCAAAAACCTCCCTTTAGGGTCGTCCTCATTTGTGAATCGGGTATAAAATTAAGTTAAGGTTTTTTTAAAAATGCTGAAAGTTTTGTGTGATGGGTAGGTTTTGTATAAGTGGATAAAATATACAATTTGTACAGTAAAAAAACATTACGTCTATGGAAAGTCCCCATTTAGATAGCTAAGTAAACGTGTGTGTGTGTGTGTAATGGTCTGTACTTTTAAAGCAGGTCATCAGCAGCTCATTTATCATAACCAGACCTCTTCATCGGGGTGTGTGTAGCATGAGTTTTGGTTCTGCCACTAAAATCCATCAATCAGTTTGAAAGATCTGTAGCACCAGAAGTCATTCAGGTGTGAGTGATCCTCTCTTCAGAAACACACACAACCCTTCACTTGGCTTTGCCCAGACTCCAACAATGATTTACCGTCTCCATTTGGGGCTTGCTTGTTGGGGGAAATAAACTTGATGCAGTTATTTCTTTTTATATCGCTTTATTTTTTAAAAGACAGTTTGGTTTTCAGAACATTAGAGGCAAACAGACCAATATTATAACCTTAATCATACATTTCCATATGGAGATTATTGTTTTTCCTCGGGCACATTGGCTGTGAGTTTGTGTGTGATACGTGCTGCTCAGTAATTGGTTTTATCCTGAATTAACATCTCAGTCTGTGGCTATTCTTAGTCACATGCTAGTACAACTTCTGTTTATTCTCTGCTGTGTAAAGATCTCTGCTGCCATCCTGTGGTTTCATATTTCATGAGAGATTGTATTTTATCAGAACAGACGGAATGAGCATCGCTTCACTGAGAAAACTTTAAGGGATAGTTCACTCAAAAATGCAAATCCTCTCATCTTTTACTTACCTTTGTGTTCATCGGTGGAACATAAATGAAGTTATTTTGAAAAATCTTCAAGCTGCTCCTTTCCATATGAGAAAAGGGTGTTTTATCCATGTTTGTTGTATAGAAAACAAATTTGTTTAAAAAAATCAGTAACTGAAATAAAGCTGAAATAACATAAAAATATAAATATTAGATGACAAACTTCAACTTATTTTTAGGGCTGTGAAACGATTAATCGCATCCAAAATAAAAGTTTGTGTTTAATAATATATAATATATGAGTGTGTAGTGTGTATAATTATTTTGTATATATAAATACACATGTATATATTTAAGAAAAATGTGTTATTAATATATAAAATATTTATGTATAATATTAATTTTGTACAAATATTTCTTTAATGTATACATGTGTATTTATATATACAAAATAATTATACACAGTACACACACATATATTATGTAAACACAAACTTTTATTTTGGATGCGATTGATCGCGATTAATTGTTTCACAGCCCTACTTATTTTTTTTCAGTTAGTTGCCAGTTTCATTAATTTAATTACTAAAACTGAAATAAAAATAATTAGACATTAGAAAATGACTCAAAAAGTACATAAAATGACTATACATAAAAAGGCCAGGTGCACATGTGAGTCATGCTGATTTCAGTTCAGACTGTTTATTATACAAAATGTCTGGCTTACTCATTAATTTCTGTTTAAATGGTTCTTAAAAATCAAGTAGATGCCCCAAATGTTTTTAATGCCACCGTTTGTATAAGAATTTATGCAAATATCGTGAATAAGGCCAATTGTTGCGGCAAAAAAATAAAATCAGCCACGTTGGTGTTCTTCTTGTCTAGTTCTGGTTACATAATGGCTTAATGAGCTTCAGGGGTCCATTTTGCAGTGTTACCGGCAGTCATATTTTTCATTCTCTCGCCTGACGGTCGTGTTGTTCCTCCTGAGTGATGGATGAGACTCCTGAGGCACGAGCCTAGAGGCAAATGGATGTGATAAATCACGCAGGCTGTTTTTGCACATGTTGCACTCACGTATTTTGCAGTGTGCCCTCTGTCCATAGCCGCTAATATGCGTTAGTCATCATGCAACAGAGCTTTTCAGTACATGCGTCACTTGTTTGCTTGGTAATGCTTCATAAAGCTTTCATTTTGTGTCTAATACACTTGTGTGTTCATTTGCTTGTGCTTGCAGAGGAGATTTTCCAGAATCACATCGCTCACTGGTGGTCCCCAGATGGTCTCAGACTGGCATATGCCACCATCAATGACACTCTGGTGCCGAAGATGGAGATACCCATGTTTACAAGTGCTCTGTATCCCAGCGGACAGGAGTACCGCTACCCGAAAGTAAATCTCTGCTGTTTCTTTTTGTAAAGCAAGGCTTGGTTGTGTGTTCCTCACTGTATTTTACAATGTCACTGTGTACTTGAAATGGGATCTGATTGGTGGCCTAATTTACGTTTAAAGGGATATTCACCCAAAAATGAAAATTCTGTTGTCATTTACTCACCCTCATGTCTTTGCAAGTTCATAAAGAGATTGTAAAAGTAACTCATACTTCATATGATGAACAGATTTAGTTTAGGCTTAATAGCACTCACATAAACACTGATAAATGCACATAAAAAAATTGTTAACAAAAACTCAGTCAACAAACATCATTAATCCTTGTGAGGGAATTTTACAAATATATTAATTTTGAAGAAAAACGTATGGGTTTGAATTGACATTATGGTGAATTAATGTGAAGCCAAGTCACCTTTATTATAGCGCTTTGTACAAAACAAAGTTTCAAATCAGCTTTACTGTGATAAATAAGAAAATAATGATCAATGGTGCAAACAGAATTTAATTCTGCTTTAAAGCAGCTCTAGAAAACACAATAGTGTCCTTTTCCAGCTGAAGTCAGTTCAATGTTGATCACATTCAGTTCAATATCAGCATTGATGTTGCAAAAACTATCATTTATGAAACCTTAAAGGTCCCCTGAAATCAAAATGTAAGTGTGAATATGTTAGACTTAAGGATATGAATAAGCTGGTGTGTTCCAAAAACCATCACAAATATCTCCTAAATGCAAATTAAGCATTCAAAACTTAGTCTCTCACTTCCACCTGAAAAATGGATCACAGATTTTTATGACATCACTGCGCACTTCAGCTTCTCGTCAGATCTTTTGTCCGCCCCTATATGCTATAAATACCACCTGGCCAAAATGACCATTGACATGTCACAGAACAACATAGGTTGGAGATGTGTGTTCGATTGCTCAAATGCTCGAGTTTCCTTCTGTTTTCCAACTGTACGTTGGTTAAGAATGAAATGGCTAGAATTTATTCACACCTCTACTATTGAATCCAGCGTAGTATCTGCATTCAGATTCGCTTTCATGGTGCTGTCAAGTGTGAGGTAAACTAAATGCTATTTGAAAAGGGGGAGGAGCCATTCAATATGTCCCGCCTTAGCTTTACTGTTTCAGTGGAAATTACGTCAAAGCATCATTAAGCTGCGCGTTCGAAGGCACTTCAGTGAGTCCTAAAGTTGAATCAGCAGCTATAAAGCAGCTCTTTGTTGTCAATTCAGTTCTCATCCAGTCAAATCAATAATATTGCTGAATATTAAGTGTTCTCAACAAAGCAAGCCGAAGGTGTGACAGTGGCAAGGAACCCAAACTCTGTGACAGAAATGGAAAAAAACCTTGGGAGTAATCAGGCTTAGTCGGGGAACCAATTCTCCTCTGCTAAACACACATGGTGCGATTATCATTCCAGCTTGCATTACGAATGATGACAGACTTTTCTATTTTGGGTTAACATAAGCACCTGAGTGACATAACTGAATAAGGTTTAGTAATAGTTAGCCTATGGCAAGCAATAACTGTCAATCTGCATGTTTCTCGTTTTACAGTACATAATACTCAGTTCCTGATTTACATTCATTTTCCAAACAGTTTTATCCAAACACATCTTACAGTGCATTCAATGTATCTTAAGAAATGAACCCATGAACATCCTGCTTTATCAATTGAACTTTAATGGAATAGATAAAAATGGTGAGCATATATTTTGTGGTGTTTGTCGTGAATGATGACTGAATGTCTCTTTAGGCTGGGGAGGAGAACCCTGACATCTATTTGTCAGTGGTGAGTCTGAACGGCCCTTTACACACAGTGAGGATGAGAAAACCAGAAGACCCCCGAATCAGGTGAAGATATGCCAGTGACCTGTTGTCGTTTAGTAACTTTATCTGTTGCTTTAGTGAAGTTTACGGTTACCCATAACATGTGTGTGTGTGCATATATATATATATTGAAATGTAATTTATTCCTGTTTTGCAAAGCTGAATTTTCAGAATTATTACTCCAGTCTTTAGTGTCACATGATCCTTCTGAAATCATTCTAATATGATGATTTCATTACACAACTTTCTTCAGTCGAAAAGAAATTAAGGTTTTTGATAAACATTCCAGGATTTTTCTCCATATAATGGATTTCATTGGGAACCAAACGGTTCAAGGTCCAAATGAGAGTTTCAGCGCAGCTTCAAAGGGCTTTAAACGACATCAGACGATGAATAAGGGTCTTGTCTAGGTCCCTTCGAGTCATGACTCGAAAAAAGATTTGTTCATTTTGATGAGTCATGAACGCTCATCACAGAACAGAGCAAGGCAAGCATTTGAGCTTATAAACTTAAACTTTTATATTTATTTTTTAAATGACCGATCGTTTCGCTAGATAAGACCCTTATTCATTATCTGGTGTCGTTTAAAGCCCTTTGAAGCTGCACTGAAACTCTCAATTGGACCTTGAACCGTTTGGTTCCCATTGAAGTCCATTATATGAACCAGTCATGACTCGAAAAAAGATAGCTAGCTTGGTCAATCAGTGAATGCTGTCTGTCAAATTAATTCAAACTAACAATAAAAATGTAATATGAACAAAACGAAAACAGGATAACCCGGGCTTTTATTTTCCCTTATCGTCGAAATAAGGGAAAATGTTGAGATGTTGTTCATTGAGTCTCTAATCTCTAAAAATCTCCAAAAATCTCCAAATGCTCCACGTGAAACTGCGGTCTTCCACCCTTTTACTATCGTGTCAATTGAATAATATGTGCAAGGGAGAGAGAGCAAGACAGCGCTCGCTCGTGTTGTTGCCATGGCGCAACTCACTTACTGGAGGTATACTGCCCCATCTGGTATGGAATATGGAGTATGATGTAATAAATGGAGTACCTTTAATGCATCCTTGCAGAATGAAAGCATTCTTGTCTTTAAAACAATGCATTACTGAGCCTAAACTTTTGAAAGTTAGTGCATCTATTTAACTAACAAGCTTTGCAAACAGGCTCAGTTAGACTAATGGACTGCATTCATTGGCTTGAATGGCTTTATTAAGAATATCTCTTAAGAGCATTTTGGAGTTTTTTTTCCCACACAAAAACGTTCACAGACACACTTTGAAATGAGTATTTTAACTGGCATCTCTATGCAGGAAAGAGTACTACATTACCATGGTGAAGTGGGCGACCAGCACTAAACTAGCAGTAAACTGGCTGAACCGAGCACAGAACAACTCCATCCTGACCTTATGTGAAGCCACCACAGGCATCTGCACCAAGGTACTTCTCATATACAGAGCAAACCAGCTTAATTATCACAGGTTTCCATGTCCATTATTATAGTCATTAAGATAAAATAACACAATGATGTGAATGATGTCCTGACCTTTCATTTTCCATATGAGGCTGTGTGTGTGACAGTGCCTATTGTTACTACATCCAAATGCATGTCAGTTAAATGAAAGAAAAGATCAGGCAAGTGCTTTGGTTGTATTGTCTATAAAGGACTTGTCACGCGTGGGAAACAATAATCTTCCGCTGTGTTTTCAGAAACATGAAGATGAAAGCGACAGCTGGCTTCACAGACAGGTGAGTCACGCATCACGCAGACACGTACGGCGCGTGGGATGTGTGTGTAAGAGGTGCTTCTCAAAGGAAGGTTTGCTGATGGGAAGACGTGAATCTCTCCACAGAATGAACCCCCGCTTTTTTCCAGAGACGGTCTCAGGTTGTTCTTCACCCGAGCCGTTCCACAGGGGGGCCGAGGCAAGTTTTTCCACATATCCATGTCCACTTCCCAGGTGAGCTGTCAATGATAAACTACCTCCCTACTTGGAAAGGTTTTACTGCACATTAAATGTAAGACTGCCTGTTGTGGTCTCTTTCAGCCCAACAGCAGCTCAGACACACTACAGTCCTTGACGTCAGGAGACTGGGACGTGACGCAGATTTTAGCCTACAACGAGGACACCAAACTTGTGTAAGCATGTGAACAGCAGATGCTGGATTCTGTCCATATTGTCAGTAAAAATGTTAATTTTTGCTAGGGCTGTCAAACGATTAATCACGATTAATCGCATCCGTATGTGGGTGCACTGTGTATAATTATTTTGTATATATATTAATACACACACATGCTTGTATATTTATGAAAAAAATATTATTTATATATAAAATATGTATATTTATATATAATATAAATTATCTATATACTGTATATACATGAAAATATTTCTTAAATATTTACAAGCATGTGTGTGTGTATTTATATATATAAAATAATTATACACAGTGCACCCACATATATTATGTAAACACAAACTTTTATTTTGGATGCGATTAATCGCGATTAATCATTTGACAGCCCTAATTTTAAGCATTATCTGCTTTTGTAACATATATGGGAGATATCTTTGACAACAACAATGTCTTTGCAGATACTTTCTGAGTACTGAAGATGATACAAGTCGGCGTCACCTCTACAGGTATGACAAATGGTGTGTGTGACCCACAGGGAAGTATTTGTAAGCATTGCACTGTTGACGTGTGTTGTGTTTTAGTGCCAACACTACTGGGTCCTTCAACCGTCAGTGTCTTTCCTGTCAATCCACCTGTGGCTACGTCAGTGGATCATTCAGTCCAGATGCTAACTACTTCCTTCTCAACTGCAAAGGTTTCTCTTTTTTTTATGTAAATATCTTGCCTTGTACTTATAGAGTGCTAGAGTGTCCGTCCACTTTCTCAGCAGCCTTGGTTCCGGAAGTATTTTTCCCATATGGATTTTAAATAAGTCTTTGTTAAAGAGTTACAAGCCGTGAACCAAACCATCCAACGTACAAAGTTTGATTTGAAGCAACAACAAAAACGTGTACACAAATAAGACAAAAAGACAAAGACTGTATGAAATGGCTTTAAATAACAACAAAAAAAATTGTAAATGACATAAATTAAATCTATAAAGCTAAAATGACTGATTTACAAATTGTATGTGTATAAATACATGTGTATAGGGACAATGTTTTGGCAATATCCAAAATCTTTGTCCTGGCGGGGATGTTTTTTGTGGAAACACGCTTATAAATCATACTAAGTGATGTTTTTTACGTTTTTATGTAATAGATGATTAAAAGTAGATTTAGGGTTAGGGGATAATAATAATAATATAATAATATACAGTTTGTTCAGTATAAAAATCATTGTCTATGGAATGTCTCCATAAAACGTGTGTGTGTGTATTGTGTAAGACTTTAAGAAGACTGTTACGTCATTTTCAGCACTTCATGGGAGTGGGGAATCGCTTCTTTTGGCATGATTTGTTTGCCGCTATTCTCTGATTGGTGGATTTCTTTGGTGAATCGTGGGTAATGTAGTTTTCACCAGGAATTCTGTTGTTAAACATGATTATTTACAAAATAAGTTATGAGAACAGATCATATTTAAAGGTTTAGAAGTTATCAATAAAAATATGTCGAGAAAATAGTGCAAAAGTCAGGTTCTGAAAGTAAAAACTTCTTTTACATGCAGTAATACTCGATTATGATTGGTTATTCGCTGCATTCTGCTGTCAGATGCTGTATAATTGATCATTGTAACTATTTGATTTTGGACAGAAGGATATGAGACACAAAACCAGAAATGTAGAAGATTGGTTTCTTAAGTAGTATGTCCATGTATTCGTTTTTTTGGCTAGTATCCTTGTAATATCTGGGGTCATCACTGCAAAATGAACTCCCTCTTACTCTGGTGAATCAAGACCTCTCGGCTTCACGGTCCTGATAGTCAAATTGCCAGACCGTCGACTAAAAAGTATAGTTTTATTTTTATTGAAATTTATCCTTCCACAATAATAGGTCAGCAAGAAGTACTAACAGACTGGAATTAAAATGCAGTGTAAAGTCTGTGTTTTGTTTATTTGTTTGTTTTTCCCCCTCTCCTAATTGTCTAAGTCTGTTCGATTCTAGTTTCTCTTAGCGCACAGTTGAGAGTTTGGATGAGCGACTCTCTCACTGATCTAAGTGTGTTAGTAATGACATCATTTCCATGCTATGTGTTTTATCAACAATAAAGCATGGTTGTCATGGTCACTGATCTGTTTATAAGACTCTGATGAGCTCCAGGAAAGGTCAGTGTTTGTGTTGAGTAGAGAAAGTCAGAGAAGAGCTGCATTCTGCATCACACACACCTCAGCAAAGAAAGATTGTTTCTTGTGTAGATCAGATCAAGCATTGGGTCATTATTAGTGCTCTATAATGATTCTCCTGAACCATATTGTCACATTAAAAAAAAAAACAATACATCACTCTAGTTCATGTGTTGAAGTGATTTTAATCAAAGGTGAGGGGGTTTGAGTGCATTGATAAGTTCCTGAAAACCCCAAAACCAGCTTTGAACAAAGCTCATCTAATCATTACTATTAGAGTCAAAACTATTTGTGTTATAATCGACATTGCATTAGTTATATAACTGGAGCTAAAGCGGTCACATCTGGTACGTGTGGATTCCATGTGTACCAGATGTGGACCGGATCTGGGCCGACGCTATGATGCTGTCTGGGTAACGTGTGACATCATCACTTTAGTACATTATCTTTCTATCAGTGCCAGATTGAGCTCATTCAAGTACAGCCACACCATCAGATTCATCCCTGGGACTGTGGAATGAATTTATATACTTGTATTAAAAATACCTTTACTCAGAAAGGATGCATTAAATTGATCAAAAGTGGTTGCAAAATCTTTAACACATTTTTGATCATTTAAATAGTTAAAATTTTCCTAGACCAGGTAGCACTTTTGGCCACTTAGTCGAGTCATTTCATGAAAAAAGGTTGAACAAATTGCAACAGAAGCAAACTCAACTGATTTTTTATCCTCAATAAGTCCTGAGTAAGGAAAAAAAAAGCCCGGAAGAATCCCATTAGGGGAATGTTTCGAAAAAGACCCAAATATATGCCATTCATACGCATATTCATTCTTTTTTTCATGTGAAAAGGGTAAAAAATTGTAACTTTTAGATATCATCATGAAAATCACTTAGTTGATTACTTACATCAAGACAAACTAAAAATGTGTTACAAGTTTTTTTGAAATTGTTTGTTAACATGGACAAACGGTGCATAATATAATTACATATTAGCTAGTTTGCATAAATCCCCAAAAAGATCTAAACATTGGGTATATATAGCAGGTGAAAATGTTTTTTTGAATTTTGTTGACATATAACAGTAAAAGACTTAATGTTAAGGTCTGAATGGAACCCATTTAGGCTACCCATGAACATTAATGCAGGAAGAAGTACTTTAGAAACCAGCCTTTATTAATTAATATTGCAGTGATGGGGTTTGGGCATTGAGTGCATTGTGTACGTAATTCGATTTTTTTTGATCGAGACACTTTTTATTTCTTCTGCATTCTCCTTACCCATGTCTCCTGTTCTTCCCTTAGACTCATCCCCCAGAAACAGTCCCACTTTATCCGAAATTGGTTGCAACAATAGACGAATATTTCACACACACAACAGTAATACAGTGCTAAGCTACACACGGCAGTCCAGATGGGATGCCATGAATATATATATGCAGTCATACACTATTCTCCTCTGTGTTTTTTGTGTCCAGGCCCGGTTGTGCCACACTCGGCCGTGTACAGCACCAGAGACGGAGAGTATAAACGTGAGTCCTCTGTTCGCTACACTATCACAGACACACGATCTCATTCACTTTATCAGCTCTGGACTCAACATGCCAAGAGCTTGATTTACTGGAAAGGTATTTCTCACCCAAAGGACATGATAGAAGACCTAGATATGCGCTTTATCAGTGGAGGTGTGCTTGAAGATAAACGCTACAAGAAACACCTCAAATGTAAGAGAAACATTTATCGGATTCAGTCAGACGAATTGTTTTAACACCATGTCCATAGATGGGAAAGAGTGCAAGTGGAAGACAATTGAGAATAGGCCTGTTTGAGATGCGCCTCGCCTCGCCTGCAATGTAGTCGAGAGTAGGCTGCAGTTAGAGGAGGAGTGAAAAAAGCGCATTCAAGCCGGACAAATCTCGGTTCTCGCAGTGAATCAGACACCTGTGAGATCAAAGTCTGATATCGCGGGATTCACGGGATTCACGCCCGTGCACGTGTTGCTAATAAACTGGATGTGATTTAAGTTCGCTTGCTTTTATATAAAAATAAATATAATGAACAAGACACCCAAAGTACTTATTTAATTAGGCTACATTCCAAATATGTGTTTATCAATCATTTTTTATTTAATACAGACGTGTTTTATATATTTTTTAAATAAAAATGACATCACATAATAACCCATATGGCACTGTCAGAGAGTTTATTCACCCATATGTATACACATAAAACATGATATCAGTTTTAAAATCAAACACTTTAAAAGAGAACAATTCATCACTGTTGTTTTTTTATTATTTATTTTATTTTTTTATTAGAATGCAAGTGACAAACATACAAGCACTACAATTTGTGAAACAAATATTATACAGCGACAAATAAATAAACATCAGAATAAAATTAATAATAAAAAAATAAAAATAAGCTTAGTTTAAATAGACAGACTTACAAACTTCATCTATAAAATGAGAGAAATTTTCCTAATTTTCACTTGAAAATTTTAAAGTATATTTGAGTTACTGACATAGCTTTCTTATTTTTAACCCGTTTAAGAGACTCACAATATATATCAGTTTCAATTTGAAAAAAAATTAAAACATGGCCTTTATTTGGAGAATTTAGCTTTATGAATATGGAATTTACCTACATCACTGTTGTTTAAACCAATGAGCATTAAGCAGTGTCGTCAGCAAGTCGTTTCCCATCATGCTTTTGATCAGCGCAGTCGGTGGAGAGCAACTGCGCGCGACTGCAGAATCCGACCCTTCCGCCTTGCGCTCGCGAGAGTTTTTTCACATACGTCGGCATGACATCAGAGCCAGGCGGACCGTTCTCGGACACGGGCATGCATCTCGCGCTGATCACCGGTGATCGATTCTGCGCAGATTTTGCTCATCTCAAACGAGCCTAATGACTGTGTCTAGAATAATTAGCAGCGATTATCATCGACCCCTTGAGGAGAAAAAAGAAAGAATCTCACTGATGCTCATATAAGTGTTCATTTCGACTCCCTCTGTCGCCATTCTGATGAAAAACATACTAATGTCATTTTATTGAAGTTGATGTTTTACCAGTGCACTTTACTACTGTGCACTGGCATTCAAAAGTTTGGGGTCAGTAAGATTTTTTATTTATTTATTTATTATTATTTTTTTTTTTTAGAAATGAATACTTTTATTCAGGAAGGATGTATTATTAAATTAAAAAAGTGACAGCAAAGACATTTATAATGTTACAAACTATTCAATCTATACTATTCATCAAAGATTCTTGAAAAATATTAAGCAGCACAATAGTTTTTAACATTAATAATAAACAGAAATGATTCCTGAGCATCAAATCAGCATATTAGACTGATTTCTGAAGGATCATGTGACTCTGAAGACTGAAGAAATGATGCTAAAAACATAATCATAGAAAACGGTTTGATGGAATAAATCAAGCATTTGTGTGCATAAAAGACTCGTTCCATCCCCAAACTAGTGTATCTCTCTGAACATGTATGGTTTCCCTCAGATGTGATGGATGTGGAGACCAATGAGGATTTGAACACCACCGTGAACAACACACAGATGCCCAGAGTAGAGTACAGAAAGATCAGCGTGGAGGATTACAGTGAGTATCTTATAGAATCATTTTTTTTAATATATAAGCCAATGACTGACGGAGCACAGTAACCTTTCCATCATTTGCACAGGTCTGAACACCCAGATTCTGATGCCAGCGGGGTTTATAGACACGGCTCACTACCCCGTCCTGCTGCTGGTGTAAGTGTTACACACACTGAACTGACACATGATACACACACCAACCCAGTGGCGAATCACAGAACGGCCGGTGTTATGTCGATTTTTGCTGCCTTGTCGAAAAATGCTACCGTAGCGCGAATTGATCAAAGAATGCCGATTAAAGTCGTATGAAATACAATTATAATACAATTCTAAGTTACGAGTAGCTACTGTATACTGTAGACTACTGTTTTTATTTTTAAAACGGTGTGAAAAGTAAAAATTATCATAAAATATTCATCTTTGACTTGTCAAAGTACACTTTTCCTCATAGTAACTGAAACTTTCAGTTATTCTTTTCAGCTGGCTGACCGTACAAATATGCATATGGTAGTAAGCATTTTTTAAAGGGAAATTATACATTATAACAGGAAAATGTACCTTTTGTAAAAAAAAAAAAAAAAAAAAAAAAAAACTGAGTCTGCACATGCGCATAACCGGTAAGTAGCAAATCTCGATGGGTAGCATGAATTGTCAGAACACCGGTACTCCAGGACACACGCAGTCACAGACATCCCAAGTCTCCCGGAAGTTGATAGCGGCTCCCTGATGCCCGCAAATGAGTTAAAATCTCCCGGCAAGAGCGTGCATGCATAGCGCGAGCACGGCAGAGAGAGGGAGTGAGCGAGAGACCTTACTTGTGTGCATGTGTGCCCCTCGAAGCGCATGGCCCAACCAATCGTCAGTACGGACAGGTTTTTATATCTAATAAAATCCGAAATTACTTTACAAGTTAGGAGGTGATATTCAGCTTGCTACATTTTTAATGATTACACTAGTTAAAACAGCTAAACTTCAACATTTTAGCTGTAAAATGCCACATGCAGTAGCTAATTTTAAGAAATATGTTGTGCTTTGTATGTCGTAGCCCTCAAACCGTATTCACTTTACAGCCCCTAATCCTGTAATTGTGGACAAATGTGGGCACAGAGGACTCAGATGTGATCCTAATTTTTATTTATTATAAATGTTATATCACTGTCTTCAATAAAGTTTTGTCTATCCATTTATGGTGGGTTTTGAATTTATTCATTTCAAAAAGTACCATATTTTCTATGTAAATTATGCTTATTTTTATGGGGTTTTTTTTAACTACATTAAAATATCATTCCAATAAGTTCTTAGAGCTAAAACCTAAAGATGAAGTGACTTTGCTGTCACCTGGTGGCTTATTTTGGCTTATTTTAGAATGCTCTAAATTACAGTTTTTCCCATTCATTTCTATGGGTGCCCATTTTTGACCCAAATACAAGATTAAGGAGGATTTTTTTTTTCACACACTTAACATTGTAGAATTCAGTAAAATTGAGTAAAAGTACGGTTTTAGGGTTAAAAATGTAAAAAAAAAAAATTCATTTAGATGTGGTATCTAAAGATTAACTGCATAAATGAATTAAGATTATTAAGTAATACATTCATTTTAAGACAGCATGGGATAGATTGTATAATATGCTGTTAGCTGTAATTTGGATGGTATAGTATCATGAGCCACGAGGGGCCCATGATTCCCCCATGAAAGGCACCAAGGCCTTTTCTCTCCAAAAATCAATTGAAAGAAAGAAGAAAATGATGCCTATTTCAGGGTCATTATGATTTTATTTTTTGCATTGTGAGATTATTTTCCTTCTGCTCCACCCAGTTCTTATTTTCCTCTCTCTACATGTTCCATCTAATCTCTCACAGTCATTTATACGTACAATACGTACATGTATAATATAATTGACATTTTATTTACATTAAATTTATTTTCCTTTTGTTTTGGGGTGAAATGTGACCCTAACAATTATCTATAACATTCAGCCAGTAAGTTTTGAGAAGGTATTTGTGAAAGTGTTTGAGGCTTTTCTTTGATCAGACGTACTGAAGCGATTGACTCTCTGTGATAGGGACGGCACCCCCGGTGGTCAGGTGGTGACGGAGCAGTTTCAAGTGGACTGGACCACGGTTCTGGTCAGCTCCTTCAACATCATAGTGATGCGCCTGGATGGCCGCGGCAGTGGGTTTCAGGGCACAAACCTCCTCCACCGCGTCAAGAAGAAACTGGGAGAGTTTGAGGAGAGAGACCAGCTGGAAGCTCTCAGGTCAGATCATCCACGTCAACGACAATAACGCAGAATCAATGCTGAACCACCGTTCACTTCACCTTTATATCTCTTCTATGATTCTCTGCAGAAATATAGCACAGTTGCCGTACATTGACACCTCAAGAATTGGAGTTTATGGAAAGGTGCGTTTGCTTGTTGACTGTTGGGGAATAACTGACTAAAAGTAGTAATGATGCTAACTAACTTAGAAGCCTTTAAAGCCTACTGTCATATTTGATTGCATTGAGAAAGCCCTCTATATTGTCAACATGAGGCAAACTTTGCTGAATAACTTGTTCTACACAATCTGATGCATGCATTTGTCATCTGATTAATAGTTGTTAAGTAAAATGCCTTTTAGTGTAATTGTTAAAATGTACACCTGCAGGTTGGGTCTTTTTACTGTGATATCTTTATTGATTTTTATAAAGTAAACATATCCAATCCACTTAATTTAAATAGCACAATTTAAACAAACACAAGGTTAATAATAAATAACTATAATATTTTATAATTATATTTTTTATAAATATATATATATATATATAATATATAATTATATAATAAATAATTCTATTTTTTATAAACATAAAAAATAACATTAATCTTGCCTAGTAATGCCATCAAATCGATGAATTGCAATTAATCACATCTAACATAAAAGTTTGTATTTATAATATGTGTATGTGTGTTATTATTTTATATACATATAATATATATGTGAGTGTGCATGTTTGTGTAATATATACATACATGCACACACACACATATACTCTTCAGTATATATACATGGATTATATATATATACAGACACATTATGTAAACACAGACTTTATTTTAGATACGATTAATCGATTTGACAGCACTAATTGCTAGTAATATTTCAAGACTGCTGGACACATATTGGAGTGAAGCATCTTAGATTTACTTGATTATCCATACATTATTTTTTTTTAGAAAATCATGTTAAAACGTATGAAATATAACAATTAAGGAATGTTTACTTGTTCATCCCTCAATCATTGCATTGTATTGTTTGTACATGCATGCTTCCCCCCACAATAAAAGCTACAGAGCTTTGATTATAAAACTAAGCAGTTAAATATGCATCTTACTAAGACATATTATTGGAAGATTTAGATTCACAGCTGATATCTATATGTATTTTTTTTTGGAACTTTTTGTTTATTTGATTTTTTCACTAAACATAACGACAATACATTATCTGGGGCAGGTAATAGAATAACAAAGAGAAGGAAAAAAAAGAAAAAAACACACATACATACATATATAAATAAATAAAAAAAAATATATAAATACACATATATATATGCATACATATACATGCATACATACATACACATCCTGTATATAGATATACATACATATTGCTGCACTTGTGAATATTCAGATCTCAACCAATACTATATTATACAGCCATATAAATGATTTAAATAAAAATATACATACACATATGAACATATATACCCATACTTATAAATACACATATCTATATGTATTTTTGTCAGCTATTCTGTTAAAAAGATCTCCATTGCATTACAAGCTTCTCACGTTTTGGTCATTTAAATAACAACTGCACCAAATTGCATATTTTTGCTCAGTTTGGGACTCTGAATGAAACTTGAGTTTTTTTCCTCATTCCCATATTCTCATATATCATACTACTATTTTTTCCATCAAGTAGTGGGGTAGCTTGACATAATGCTGTGATTGTTTTTATATCACATTAGACCTAGAAAACATTTAGTTTATTTGTGATAACATACACTGATGATTCATTGGAAATAAAACCAGGAACACATACTCTGTACGTAAGTGGAGTTTTGATTTCAAGTTGCCTTCAGATGCTCTGCAATGTTGGATTCATATTAATTCTCTCTTGATGAAATGTACGATTGTATCATTCAGCATCAATTATGTTCATGCATGACTAATAACCTTGTTGTTGTTGTTGTGTGCCTCAGGCATATGGAGGATATCTGACCAGCCGACTCTTGCGCTCGGATGAACCTACAAACATGTTTAAATTCAAAATCAAGTGCGGCACTGCCATCTCCCCCATCACTGATTTCTCTTTATATGGTATGATGTCATATCCTGTCATTCATTTCTTGAAATTAAAGGGATGGACTCGTTTCATTGATTATCATTAACGTCTGTCCCACAGCTTCTGCGTTTTCTGAACGCTATTTAGGATTACCGCGGTCCAATAAGCGAGCGTATGAGGTAATGTGCACCAACATAGTATGGTTCTTGGTCAAGTCAAAGAAATGTTTCATATTGCTTGTATTTTCATTCATTTATTTTTCAGATGACACATTTAACAGACCACATGGAGCAACTGAGGGACAAGAAACTCATGATAATCCACCCGACGGCTGACGGTAACCTTTGATTTAAGCTTCTTGCCTAACATGTTTATTTCTGAAATACCTGCTTTTCTTAAATCGGTTTCATGATGTGTAACATTTCTTTGTTCACACAGAGAAAGTCCATTTTCAGCACACAGCCAAATTTATCACCAATTTGATAAATGAGAAGGCTAATTATACATTACAGGTAAGAGCTTCTCATCCACTATTTAAAGCTCTCAGCAACTGACTTATGTTTGGTCTGTCTTTTTAGTGGTTGCTCATAATAAAAGTATTGAGATTTAAACAAACTAATAACTCTTTCGGTACCACTTGTGTCATAAACATGAATAACACCTCATTGAGTACAAGCTTTTTCATTGAATGACCTGGTTCATTTAGTAATCGGTCACATTGGGGTAGTGAAATGGGTAGTACTTGAGTGGGTGAGGCAGTTTTCTTTCTTTTTTTTTGTCAGATCTACCCAGATGAAGGCCACTTCCTTCACTCGAAAGACTCGCAGCAACATCTCAGTCAGTCGCTGGTCAACTTCTTCGTGGAGTGTTTCAGACCGCCAGAGATACCGCCCGAAGAGAAACTGGAGCAGGACAACGAGGATGATGGTTAAAGTCCCGTTCATATCCAGCACAAGCCAGCTTACAGCCCGATATGCAAACTCCTCCCCTCCATTACACCCTCCTCCATTCCCATGTTAGTTCTGATGGCTTCTCCTGAGCCTCTGCATGGACCACGCCCCTCAACTCTGATTGGCTCATTGGATCCAGGAAAGAGTTTGAATGACTTGGTGATAAAATAACCTGTGGAGGTACCCGCTGAACCATTCCACACCCTCACAGTGTGAGAACTGGATGAACTGGAGTGATTCAGATGAACTGTCGAGCTCTTTTGCTTGTTCTCTTATTCATGCATTGCTTACAGAAAGCTTTAAGAGATGACAGCACAATACACAGATGAATGATTGGCCAGAGTACCGAAGCTGCAAATTACTCAATTATTTTACCGGCTGCACAGCATTCTGAGTTTAATCCAGTTAGTACAGTTTAGGGCCTTTATTTGGGTAGAAATGTCATTGTGAACTCATTTGTTTCTGTCGTCAATGTCAAAGTTATCAGGCCTGTTAGTGCTGAACAAATGTTCCTAAGATTTCATGTGTCAGCTGAATGTGGCATTTTACGTAAGAAAAAAAAAAGCATAAATCATTGACATAAAAATTTTTACTGGGATTCGTTGTGGTCGTTTCACAAGGCTTTTTGTTGCATCAAATGTGCTACAGTAAAACAGTTGCTTTAAAATGTATCTGTTGTAGTAATGATCCACAGAATCCATGTTGTTTATTAGTGAATCGGCTCATTCTGAGAAGGATAGTCTTCTTTGTTTCAACGAGTGCAGCTGCAAATCTCTTCGGATATACTTTTGTCACTGTGCCTTATTGGAATAAACCTGCTCAAGACAGGCAGTCCATGAGGTAGGACAAATCATTTATGGAAAAAAGATTCGATTTATGCTATCAAACAGAGGACTAAGAACCATGCCACAATCCTGCCAAGAGCATTTTCTTTAGTCCTGTGTACTGGTTAAGTACAGTAGGTTAACTGTGAATTCATAGGACTTGTGTCTTTGGGAAGGTATGTGTTTGTTTTTTGTCATACATGGTTACGAAGGTCTTTGAAGGACGTTTTGCATAGAATATATTTTCTTGCTATATAATTTGGCATGGTGGAAAGATGGTTTCTTTTGTGTATCATTACTTTTGACAGCTTGAATGTTCCTATGTGGTTCCACTGAATTTATTGTTGTAAGTGAAATCCTGTCTTGTAAGCAGATGCACTGATGTGTAAATTACTGTTTGGTCCCTATGTGTTTACCTTGTACATAAAGCATTTTGAAAGCTATTTTGTTTCTTAACTCATTTAAAAGCAAAATACCGTACTGCAGGGTTTTTTTTTTTGTTGTTGTTGTTTTTTACAAAGATTCAAGGACCGTTTTGTATGGAAGCCTGTTTCCGCCACAGAATGAAAAATAAAGGTTAAGGTTAAACTGCGACTTTTTATCTCACAATTCTGACTTTATTTCTCAGAATTGTGTGATATAAAGTCAGAATTGCGATATAAAGTCAGAATTGCAAGATATAAAGTCAGAATTGGGTGACATTAAGTCAGAATTGCACGATATAAAGTCAGAATTGCGTGTTATAAAGTCAGAATTGCGAGATATAAAGTCAGAATTGCGTGTTATAAAGTCAGAATTGCGAGATATAAAGTGAGAATTGCGTGATATAAAATCAGAGTTGCCACAGAAGCCACTATTTGCGCAATAACCATGGACATGCAATAAGCTGCAATTGGACAGAATTCCATTTTTTGGACATTTTAATTAAAGTTTCTTTCATGATGATAACTATTTTACTGCACTCAGCTGGGGGCCCTGAGTCTGTAGCACCAAGCGCCATGCGATAATTCCACCGTCCACGAACCCACTATTTTTATAATGGCATAAATGCTACATGGGATGTCCATATCTCCGCTCTGGAAGGGTCTAGAGCCTCCATTTTTGCACTCAGGTCTAAGTCTCATGGCCCTCTATCAGAATCCAGAGTTTCAAGAAGATCAGAGAAACTCAAAATTTCGACCCAAAAAAAAAACAAAAAAACGACAGTGGTACATACCCCTGTCGTTTTTTTTTTTGTTGTTGTTTTTTTTTTTTGTGATAAGGGGCAAATTAAATATCATGTTTTGTATTTAGTTACTTTATAGATTTGTTTATTTGCCTTATTTATAACACATTTGTCTAATGTAAACAGTGTTGACAACAGTGAATTATGCTATAGCACAGCACACATAACCTTACACTCAGATGAATTTTTCATGTTGTGATGTGCTCATCTCCAATACTTATAAAATATGTTACTTCGTGATGTAAAAGACATTTTAAATAAAGGTGTACTGTTATGTAAATCCACTTTAGAAACGTAACGTTACGTGTACTTACTGGAGCTCCCTTGTTAACTAGCTATATAATAAAACTTGTTTACAGCAAAATCACAAATATATTGTCTAACTCCTTTACACTTTCAACAGTTAAAACGTTTACTCTATATAGTAGTTTAACACATTTAAACACAAGGAACCATGTTTACTCACATTTGAAAACCCCCGGGTCGCTGATCTCCGTGATGTTGATAATGACGTATCCTCTCGCATGGCCTCCTGGGATAGATTAGTACAATCGGACAAGCACTCAAATACCTGGGCGACAGCAGGAAATCATCCGGGAACTTCTCGCCTACTCTTTTATGAATACTGATTTCGAACGTACTGCTTCTTTCACGTACTGTTTTCGCCTACTATATAGTAGGAAAGTAGAGATATTCGAACGCACTATCGTTCAAATCTCGCAATAATTAGTACGTCAACCAGGTAATTCTCGCCTACTCTTTTATGAATACTGAGGATTCGAACGTACTTTTTTGCACGCCTACTCTTTTCCCCTACTATATAGTTCAAGTATGCGATTCCGAACGCAGCCAAAATCTCAGCTCTGGAAGGGTCTAGAGCCTCCATTTTTGCACTCAGGTCTAAGTCCCATGGCCCTCTATCAGAATCCAAAGTTTCAAGAAGATCAGAGAAATTCTAAATTTCGACCCAAAAAAAAAAAAAACGACAGTGGTACCCCTTTTGTTTTTTTTTTTGTGCGAAAAAATAAGTTTCTCCAATCATCTTGAAACTCTGGGTTCTGATAGAGGGCCATGGGACTTAGACCTGAGTGCAAAAATGGAGGCTCTAGACCCTTCCAGAGCTGAGATATTGAGATATTTATAATGGCATAAATGCTACGTGGGATCTCAATATCTCAGCTCTCGGAGGGTCTACAGCCTCCATTTTTGCAGTCAGGTCTAAGTCCCATGGCCCTCTATCAGAATCCAGAGTTTCAAAAAGATCAGAGAAATTCAAAATTTCAACCCAAAAAAAAAAACGACAGTGGTACCCCTTACGTTTTTTTTGGGGGGGGGGGGTGAAAAATTAAGTTTCCCCAATCTTCTCAAAACTCTGGATTCTGATAGAGGGCCATGGGACTTAAACCTGAGTCCAAAAATGGAGGCTCTAGACCCTTCCAGAGCTGAGATATCGAAACTCAAAATTTCGACCAGAAAAAAAAACCGACAGTGGTACTGGTACCCCTTACGTTTTTTTTTTTCGGGCGAAAAATTAAGTATCCCCTGTCTTCTCAAAACTCTGGATTCTGATAGAGGGCCATGAGACTAAGACCTGAGTGCAAAAATGGAGGCTCTAGACCTTTCCAGAGCTGAGATATCGAAACTCAAAATTTCGACCAGAAAAAAACGACAGTGGTACCCCTTACGTTTTTTTTTTTCGGGCGAAAAATTAAGTATCCCCAATCTTCTCAAAACTCTGGATTCTGATAGAGGGCCATGCGACTTAGACCTGAGTGCAAAAATTGAGGCTCTAGACCCTTCCAGAGCTGAGATATCGAAACTCAAAATTTCGACCCGAAAAAAAAACGACAGTGGTACCCCTTACGTTTTTTTTGGGGGGGGCGAAAAATTAAGTTTCCCCAATCTTCTCAAAACTCTGGATTCTGATAGAGGGCCATGAGACTTAGTCCTGAGTACAAAAATGGAGGCTCTAGACCCTTCCAAAGCTGAGATATCGAAACTCAAAATTTCGACCCGAAAAAAAAACGACAGTGGTACCCCTTATGTTTTTTTGGGGGGGGCGAAAAATTAAGTTTCCCAAATCTTCTCAAAAGTCTGGATTCTGATAGAGGGCCATGAGACTTAGTCCTGAGTGCAAAAATGGAGGCTCTAGACCCTTCCAGAGCTGAGATATCGAAACTCAAAATTTCGACCCGAAAAAAAAACAACAGTGGTACCCCTTTCATTTTTTTTTTCGGGCGAAAAATTGAGTTTTTCCAATCTTCTCAAAACTCTGAATTCTGATAGAGGGCCATGAGACTTAGACCTGAGTGCAAAAAGCAAGCTCTAGACCCTTCCAGAGCTGAGATATCGAAACTCAAAATTTCGACCAGAATAAAAAACGACAGTGGTACCCCTTACGTTTTTTTTTTTCGGGCGAAAAATTAAGTATCCCCAATCTTCTCAAAACTCTGGATTCTGATAGAGGGCCATGAGACTTAGACCTGAGTGCAAAAAGCAAGCTCTAGACCCTTCCAAAGCTGAGATATCGAAACTCAAAATTTCGACCCGAAAAAAAAACGACAGTGGTACCCCTTACGTTTTTTTTTGGGGGGGGGGGGGGGCGAAAAATTAAGTTTCCCCAATCTTCTCAAAACTCTGGATTCTGATAGAGGGCCATGAGACTTAGTCCTGAGTGCAAAAATGGAGGCTCTGGACCCTTCCAGAGCTGAGATATCGAAACTCAAAATTTCGACCCGAAAAAAAAAACGACAGTGGTACCCCTTATGTTTTTTTTTTTCGGGCGAAAAATTAAGTATCCCCAATCTTCTCAAAACTCTGGATTCTGATAGAGGGCCATGAGACTAAGACCTGAGAGCAAAAATGGAGGCTCTAGACCCTTCCAGAGCTGAGATATCGAAACTCAAAATTTCGACCCGAAAAAAAAACAACAGTGGTACCCCTTTCATTTTTTTTTTCGGGCGAAAAATTGAGTTTTTCCAATCTTCTCAAAACTCTGAATTCTGATAGAGGGCCATGAGACTTAGACCTGAGTGCAAAAAGCAAGCTCTAGACCCTTCCAGAGCTGAGATATCGAAACTCAAAATTTCGACCAGAATAAAAAACGACAGTGGTACCCCTTACGTTTTTTTTTTTCGGGCGAAAAATTAAGTATCCCCAATCTTCTCAAAACTCTGGATTCTGATAGAGGGCCATGAGACTTAGACCTGAGTGCAAAAAGCAAGCTCTAGACCCTTCCAAAGCTGAGATATCGAAACTCAAAATTTCGACCCGAAAAAAAAACGACAGTGGTACCCCTTACGTTTTTTTTTTGGGGGGGGGCGAAAAATTAAGTTTCCCCAATCTTCTCAAAACTCTGGATTCTGATAGAGGGCCATGAGACTTAGTCCTGAGTGCAAAAATGGAGGCTCTAGACCCTTCCAGAGCTGAGATATCGAAACTCAAAATTTCGACCCGAAAAAAAAACGACAGTGGTACCCCTTATGTTTTTTTTTTTCGGGCGAAAAATTAAGTATCCCCAATCTTCTCAAAACTCTGGATTCTGATAGAGGGCCATGAGACTAAGACCTGAGAGCAAAAATGGAGGCTCTAGACCCTTCCAGAGCTGAGATATCAAAATTCAAAATTTCGACCCGAAAAAAAAACGACAGTGGTACCCCTTACGTTTTTTTTGGGGGGCGAAAAATTAAGTTTGCCCAATCTTCTCAAAACTCTGGATTCTGATAGAGGGCCACGAGACTTAGTCCTGAGTGCAAAAATGGAGGCTCTAGACCCTTCCAGAGCTGAGATATCGAAACTCAAAATTTCGACCAGAAAAAAAAACGACAGTGGTACCCCTTACGGTTTTTTTTTTTCGGGTGAAAAATTAAGTATCCCCAATCTTCTCAAAACTCTGGATTCTGATAGAGGGCCACGAGACTTAGTCCTGAGTGCAAAAATGGAGGCTTTAGACCCTTCCAGAGCTGAGATATCGAAACTCAAAATTTCGACCCGAAAAAAAACCCGACAGTGGTACCCCTTACGTTTTTTTTGGGGGGGGGAAAAATCAAGTTTCCGCAATCTTCTCAAAACTCTGGATTCTGATAGAGGGCAATGAGACTTAGTCCTGAGTGCAAAAATGGAGGCTCTAGACCCTTCCAGAGCTGAGATATTGAAACTCAAAATTTCGACCCGAAAAAAAAATGACAGTGGTACCCCTTAAATTTTTTTTTTTCGGGC